AGTCGGAAAAGGAGCAAAAACTGGCAGAGGAGCGAAAACACGTGCAGCAACAACAACAACAAATCTATTCAGTCAACAACAACAACGACAACAACAGCAGTAATCTAAACAGCGGCGCCACTGATATCAAATACGTTGGCACACTGGTCTAGTATGCCACAAACTTAAATCTTTATCATCTTTAGTTATGTCAATATTGTAAAATATAACTTCTGTTCATATAAATAAATCTCCTCACAGATGCACACACGATATATTCTCTCTGTTTAGTAAAAAAAAGTTCAAGGTCGTTCACGACCACGGGCTGGTGCCGTTGGTGTGCACGTAGAAGCAGCCTGAGAAGGTGTCATACTTGGTGAAATCGTCGCTGCGGGGCTTGGCAAAAGAGGCCTGTGGTCCTCCCTGCTGCTGCTGCTTCTGTGCCTTCTCCGCCAGCTGCTCATCCATGAAACGGTCACAAAAGTAACCCATCTCGGCGGTGACCTCCTCCCGCCCATTGACGCCGGTGGTGATGATGCGGTGCACTGCCGACTCGACGTCCGGCTCGCCATCCAACTTCAGGTGGGTGCGGAAGGCGCCCCGGTGGCCCACCGACCAGAGGAAAAAGTCAATCGCCCGGCCGTGCGAGTCGCTGATGTAGCCGCCGTAGGGCGAGGGCTGCGCCACCTTGTGGTGCTTCGCGTCCATCTCCAGGTCCGGTTTCTCGCTGCGAGAGCGGTCCTTGCTGGGCTGGTTCCAGCCGTAGTTCGGGTAGAAGTCGACCAGGCCCATTGGAACCAGTGTGCCAAAGTAAGGGAGGTCCATGCCGTCGGTGTGGATGACATCGACCAGGGTGGCGTCCAGGCGGTTCAGCCGCTTGTCGACGTTGCTGTCCTGGAAACCGACGCCCGCCGGGTCCAGGCCGGTGATCCGGTCCAGCGCCTTGGAGTTCCGCCCGGCGGCGCCCATCAGGTGGCCGCCCAGCGAGTGGCCGATGCCGTAGGTGGCCACCTGGGGGGCGGCCTGCTTCAGCGCCGCGAGGATCTCGCCCAGCCACCGGCCCGTTTCAATGCAANCGTTTCAATGCAGTTTGAGGCGGCCTGTGCGTACCGCAGCAGGCCAATGTCTGCGCCGCCGCCCCAGCCGAGAATGGCCACTGTTTGTTTCAGCCCCCGTTCGCCCTCTCTGATGGCCTCCTTCAGCTC